TCAGAGAACCCGCTGAAGAAAATCCTCATCATCTTCTACCTCCGTGATCCTAGCTGCTTCGACAGCTGGTTCCGGTTCTGCCTCCTTTTCCTTTCCCTTTGCATCGTAGCTGGCGATGAAAGCACGGACTGCTTCATATCTCACCTTGCTGTCGTCGGAGATGTCTGAGGCCGTGTTTGAAGAAATTGTCCTTGTTGCTTGGCCCCGCTTCGGCATTTTGAATTTGCCTTTGTACTTGGGGTCTGAGCATCGCTGTTTAAAAACGAAGGGGTGTTTCCCACATCGTACACACAGCTTCTTCTCCAGCCATCCTTCTTGTTCCTTGGTAAGGGTGGATACTCGATCCACGACCATTGCATTGGGGTCTTTCGGGGCCCATGGTGCCGATGATGATGATGTTGTAACCGTTCCGCGTTGTCCGGCTTTGTCAGCTCGGAACTTGGACTCCAGTTGAAGGCACAGGTCGAGGTATTCCAGCCATGTGATGGGGTCAGAAATTCCTAGGCTGTCTCGTGTGACCATTGTCTGGTGTACGTCCTTGCTTCGGTGTTCAGCGATGTATCCGATGAGTGCAGTGTGCCCTAAGTTGGTCTTAGTGGCCCATTAATGGAACTGTTCTGCGAAGGATACCATTGTGGGATACATCTTGCCACAGATATCCTTCAAATGCTGCTGTGCATCCTTGTCCAGGTTGAGGGTCCTGTAGTTCACTTTGAGAATGTTGACAAAGTCTTCCCATGTGCCAAGTGCCTGCCGTGCTGCTGCTCTGGTCGCATATTCGGACATGTATGTGAACGCGCCACCTTCCAAGTGCAGTAAGGCCATGGTAATCTTGTGTTCATCGTCGTTGATCTCGTTCCACCGCATCCATATACCGAGTTGTTGGAGCCAGTCCTCCAGACTTCCTTTGCCCGAGTAGTGTGGAGGTTCGGCAATTTTGATGTGTGGCTTGTGCGTTTGGACCGTGCTGGATGTTTGACCTTGCGTCGTAGTGACGCCGCTTGCTTTGAGCGAAGCTAGCTCGTGCCGCAGCTTAACGTTAGCTGCCTTGATTTCCATCATTTCTTTGCCCGTGTCGAGCATTGCTGCCTGGGTTCCTGTGAGCTTGTC